TCACCTCAACCACCATCCCCAAAAGCCCACAAGCAATCCAGCTGGGATGGCCCCATTGTAGACCAAGTTGCTGCAGAGTGCCTGGGTGCTGCAACAACACAACACGACATTGCTCGCCTCACAGCAGTAGCAGCACCACATGCAGGGGATTTCCTGTTAGCAACCCCAATGTCGGCAACTGGCACGCGTCTCACACCACACGCCCTCCGAATTGCTGTGGCCCTCCGCCTTGCTGCCCCAATCCACACCAGATATAGGTGTATTTGCGGCGAGGTGGTGGCTGACAGGTACGGCCACCATGGCCTACTCTGCCAAAGCACAGGGGGATGGCACTCGAGGCACAATGAAGTTAACGACATCATCAAGAGGAGCCTCACCACAGCTGGATGCCCAGCTGAAAGAGAGCCCCGTTACCTAACGCCCTGTAACTCTGATGCTCTTATTGGTCGCCCGGATGGTATCACAGTGAACCCCTGGAAGAATGGCAAGCAGTTGGTATGGGACTACACGTGCGTATCAACCCTGGCTAACACCTACATTAACCTCAGTGTTGCACAACCAGGTGACGCTGCCACCCACAGGGAAGCAGCCAAATCCCGTAAGTATAGTGAACTGGATCACCACTACAATTTTGTCCCCATTGCTTCTGAGACACTCGGCGCCTGGGGTAAAAGTGCTACCAATTTTTTGAAGGAACTGGGTTCTAGGCTCATTGAAACAACATGGGACCCAAGAGCGGCAAGCTTTCTTTTCCAGCGCCTCAGTGTGGCGATACAGAGGGGAAATGCGCACTGCATCCAGGGTTCCTGCCCGCCATCTGAGGAGCTGGAGGAACTCGATAACCTATAATAACCATCTTTGTAACCCATATGTAACTCCTTTTTTGTAACAAAGTTCAAATAAAGTAAATATATATGTGTACATACAAAAGAATAGGGGTGGTAGGAGAAGATAATATTAGTGTTCAGTGAGAAACCACAAGGTCTCCTCTAAATACTTTTTATTTTCTTCTCCGAGGCTATGGGTCCCCACATTGGCACCAGAGGTGGTACCCTCACAAACTTTTATATATATATATATATATATATATATATATATATATATATATATATATATATATATATATATATATATATATATATACATAGGGGGGTACCACCTCTGGTGCAATTATAGGGACCCACAGCCTCAGAGAAGGGAACACAGAGCATTCAGAGAAAAACTTGCCATTTAACTCTGAATACGTAAGAGTGTTCGCTTCTCCTACCACCCCCCTTTTTTATTGTGTTCACTTTATTATGCAAGGTTATACAGTTACATATCTGATTTTATACAAAAAATTAACATTAAGAGGACACAAAAAAAAGTTCGCTTCCTAGAGGCGAACCAGTGAAGTGAACCAGTGAAGAGCAGAGGTGCCATAGGCACAATCAGAGAGCACTGTATAAACATCAGGGGTCCGCGGTTGTTCAACGTCCTCCCAGCGAGCATAAGAAATATTGCCGGAACAACCGTGGACATCTTCAAGAGAAAACTGGACGGTTTTCTAAGAGAAGTTCCGGATCAGCCGGGCTGTGGTGGGTACGTGGCCCTGCGGGCCGCTCCAAGCAACAGCCTGGTGGACCAAACTCTCACAAGTCGAGCCTGGCCTCGGGCCGGGCTTGGGGAGTAGAAGAACTCGCAGAACCCCATCAACATATATATATATATATATATATATATATATATATATATATATATATATATATATATATATATATATATATATATATATATATATATATATATATATATATATATATATATATATACAAATATGTCTCTCCTACTTTGACAGGGTGAGAAAGCTGCTGTAGGAACTAGTGTGTTATTAAGCACTTAACCACTGAAGGTGACTAAGATACTTTTACAAGCTCAAATAATAGTTAAAATCACTTACATTGTATAACAGATGTATTACGTATTGTATAAGTAAAATACATTGTATAATTGATACATTACATGGTCAATTTTGGGTACAAATACAATAAATCATCAAGTGTTCCAGTACTCATATAGTAATTACACAGTTCAGCATACCTCAGCCCAGGAGGGCGAAAGTCAGTCAATATGGGACATTCTACAATATAATGTTCAAGTGAGTGCATGTTTTCTCTTTCACAAAGTTGATACATGGAGTATTCGACACTTTCACAAAGTTGACACATGGTGTATTCGACACTTTCACAAAGTTGACACATGGTGTATTCGACACTTTCACAAAGTTGACACATGGTGTATTCGACACTTTCACAAAGTTGACACATGGTGTATTCGACACTTTCACAAAGTTGACACATGGTGTATTCGACACTTTCACAAAGTTGACACATTGTGTATTCGACACTTTCACAAAGTTGACACATGGTGTATTCGACACTTTCACAAAGTTGACACATGGTGTATTCGACACTTTCACAAAGTTGACACATGGTGTATTCGACACTTTCACAAAGTTGACACATGGTGTATTCGACACTTTCACAAAGTTGACACATGGTGTATTCGACACTTTCACAAAGTTGACACATGGTGTATTCGACACTTTCACAAAGTTGACACATGGTGTATTCGACACTATCACAAAGTTGACACACGGTGTATTCGACACTTTCACAAAGTTGACACATGGTGTATTCGACACTTTCACAAAGTTGACACATGGTGTATTCGACACTTTCACAAAGTTGACACATGGTGTATTCGACATTTGGGTTTTGAGAAAGCTGCCAGATACGTCTATATCCCAGGCGTATTCTGGCCACTATAACATCACATTGCCGGGTTCTTGTTCTATTAGTTCCATATATGAAAGTCTCCTCACGATATTTATCATATTATTTAATGCTACAACTATCAGGTCTTTGTGAATGTGTTAGATCAGTAAGATTTTCCTTGGGTCGCAACTAGGTTCTTTCTCTGATGTTAGTAGAGTTTGGCTATCCGGCCCCAAGCTAGTAATGGCTTTCAAGGGGTTTGCTCCGTAACGCAAGTAAATTAAAGGGGAAGGGAGACAAAGGTAAAAACTTAATAATATAATTATCACCGTCACCATAAATAATTTATAGATTATCACACGGGGGGGGGGGGGGGTATAAACACTATTATGTACAAAGTGGTCTTCCTGTGAAGACTCTGGACGTTCACGGTGCTCAAGACGAGTGGTCCTGATTCTCTTGTGGCCTCACAATGAATCCTTTGATTCCCTCGACGAGTCTACCCCGGCCACAGACCAGCCAAACCACAGTCCCACTGGGTGCACCGTCGTGGAGGCCGTCAACCACAAATCCAGCCTTTAGCTGGCAGGTTCCAATCAGCACCGCTGCGTAGGCCACTCCACGACCGATACTAGGGTTGTGAGCCCTAGGCAGGAGCCTCGTGTGATTCCACAGATCACTCTCCTCACCACAACACCCCAGTGGTTAGTCTTCTCCACTAGTCAGCCCCGGGTACGACAATTCCTGGTCCTGCCACCTCACAGGCAGGCTAACACAACAGTGTTCATCCGGGGGGTGACTCACAGCTTCTGCAGCTAACACTTGGAGGTCCTATGGCTGCCCTGGGTAGACTCATCCAACGTTCATTACAGCAGTCCCAGGTCGACTCTGTAATCAGACACGTCATCAGTACTAGTTACACTCTGGGGCACCTCACTTACCGGCTTAGACCCAAACGCCCACCTATCCACTCCATAGATGGCGTTGCTGTCTAAGCATCACCTCACCAGAGGTCAGCAGCGGCTGTGTTATGAGCTGATCAGGACGGGAAACTAGCCCTTGTGGCCAGTATATCTCGTCCTCACTAGATGGCGTCGTCCATTTGGAGGGGGTTTCGGGAGCTGACCCACAGATGGCGTGGTCGACACTGCTCCGGGCTCGGACGCTGGACTCGGGTCCGTAACAGTGGTTCTGGAACATCATAGACCAGGTTCATGAAGGACTGGTAGTGTGAGGCTCTGGAACATCATAGACCAGGTTCATGAAGGACTGGTAGTGTGTGGTTCTGGAACATCATAGACCAGGTTCATGAAGGACTGGTAGTGTGTGGTTCTGGAACATCATAGACCAGGTTCATGAAGGTCTGGTATTATTGTTAAGGCAACACAATGGCTTACTGACCAACCAGCAAGGGAAACTATGAGGAGAAGCACCATGCCATTAATATAGCACTTGACCCACCAGCAAGTATAGCTCAGTCCAGGACACAGTCCAGGACACAGTCCAGAAAACAGTCCAGGACACAGTCCAGGACACAGTCCAGAACACAGTCCAAGACACAGTCCAGGACTGCCCAGGACTAAAGTAAACTCTCAGTGTATATTCACCAAAAAGTGGTCTATACACTTCTCAGTGAATATAGAATATAGCCCCTGGTATGGTGTGAGTCCTATATAATTATGAAACACTGAGGTGGTCAAGGTTGACTTATGATTAAATTTCTATTTAATGTAACTTAGATCTGTAAGGAAAGCCCGCTTATTAGCTATTAATTTTGTTATTATTTGGTGTTATAATAGATTATAATAGGTATAATAGATATAAAATAGATTTCCCTCGCTTCATGGTGGTGAGATCGTGAGCTTCCGTCGCCTCCCGGTGAGGCTTCCCTGCTGTGTTTGTGGTACAGCGTGACCTTACTGTCGACCATCTGTCTCCTTGACAGGATGTCCGGAGGGGCAACACTGTCTTATCAGCTCCCCTCCTCGGCTCTCCTTATCAGCCCTCATAATCCGGTTCCATTCCTCAATCCCCTCCTCATACATACCCTCACCCTTTGTCGCCCATTAGTTTCTTCGTTTTTGTCTTAACTCTCAGCTTACTTTGTCCCTTAACCACCTTCTTCTAAATCCCATTCACTGACTCTCCCTCTGATATCCTCCCTCTTTGATACCCCCATCAAAGTTACCCCCCCCCCCCGTCACCAGCTCCCACTCATAATTAACGTGTGTTTGCACTCCACAGCAACTCACAGGAGAGAGAGCAGCTTATGTCTTCGTAAGACGTCTTGGAAGCTGACAGCGAATAGTCAATAACTTCTTGAAAGTGATTATTGAACATTGCATCAGAAGAACACCAGGAGCGCGCACACCCATCAGGAAGTTTGCATGTAAGAATGGATGCCAACATCGCAGTTTGTGCAGGAAATGAAACGCGGCTTCTAGTCTACTTCCTGTTGATTGTGTGCTTGGCGGGAACGTCTGCCGCCACCAACGTCTTGCCAGTGTCTGATTTCCACAATGCCAGAGAGCCATCAGTCTTCGGTACACCAGGTTCCAAATCTCTTGAGCGACTCATCAGGGCTGAGCTCCTGAAGCCTCGAGTGCTCGAGGAGGAACAATCCAGGAGTCACATACCTTCCGATGATTCCTCGAGCCAAATGTCCATGAGCAGTATTCCACTTGATAGTTCCGCAAGCACACCATACCCAGAATACTCCCCTTCTCAGGATACCACAGATACCATGATCGGTGAAGATGACGTGTTAGACCATGACATACCAGAGGAACCCACTGGAGACACTCATAACGAAAGTGAGATTTCTCAGGATTCTGCTAACGGAAGTCCCACAACGATTCACAAACCAGAAAGTACGATTCCTACGCTTAGTGCTTCTCTCGACAAGCTTGACGAAACAATACACAATCACCGACAAGAACCTCCCTACAGAATATTCTCAATTCCATCAAAGCCCACAACTGAAATATCTCAAGTTAACCAGATGGTCGGAAATGGTCATATTCCCCTCCCCATGGTGCCCATGCACCACTTTCCACCCCAAGAACCTGGAACCTCGACGAATCACTTCCTGCCTCAGATCCCAAACAATCGGGTACCGCCAGGCCACTTCACTAACGAGGGATCCTCTAAATGGAATCCCCATGAGAGCCACTTTTCCCAAGAGCCGCATAACGCAATCCCATCAAACCACTTTTCATCCCAAGAGCACATGGGAGCGATGCCTCCAGCTCATTCAGTCCCACAGACACGCTTAGACACCATGCCTCCGAGCCACAACACGTTCCAGAGCCCCTGGAACATGTTGCCTGGAAGTCACCATTTCAGCAAGGAAGTCCGCAACGATGGTGACGACTGCAACCTCACGAAGAAGCTCTTCAACTGGGGCAACTTCATCACTGCGGCTGTTGACGAACTATCAGCGCAAGTACCATGTCAATTTTACTCTTAATATAGGGATGTATTGCCCATTTTCTCATGCAAATATTATACAGAAGGTTCTTTTTGTTAATATAATAGTTATACATTTTGCATTAAAAGAGGACAAATAGAAAATGGAGAAAAATAGAGAGAGGGAGAGGGATAGGGAAGTCGAGAGGAAAATAGAGAATTTGGGATAGAGAAAGCCATACCCGGGCAACGCCGGGTACACCTTTTAATACATAATAAAAACAACCAATCTGGGCTTGAACTCACGATGCACTGATCACCAGGTCGATACATTACCCACGATACCAGCCACCAGCTTACGAGATCTGGAACGTAGAAATACACCAGAGACTCTGTCAGAGAGTTCGCTGTGAACTTTATACATTGTTAAGGACTCAGTCACTGCCATAACAGGCGTCAGATACATTATTAAAGATACAGTCACTACACTTACATGCGTTTAAAACATTATTAAAACGAGTCATTGCAGGCGCATGATACAAAATGAGGAGTATGTGTTGCTGGACCACTACTGTATGTATTTCACCCGCCCCTACTTATCTCGCTGGAAGATAAGGATCCTGGCTGATGTTTGGTGCCCAGGCTGGACCACCATCACTGGCTCTGGTAAGTTAACGTTTGGTTAGGTTATGGTTAAGTTAGGTCAGGGTTAGGTAAGATTAGGTTAAGTTAGGATAAGATTTGGTTATGTTAGGTAAGGTTAGGTTAGGTTAGGGGAAGGTTAGGTTAGGTAAGATGAGGTTAGATTTTAAACTATGCCAGCCCTTCCAGGAGAGCAGAATAATTCTCATTGCAAAGATCTTTCAAAGCATGTTAGAGGGTAATCAACTCTGAGGTCAGGTCATCTCTCTCACCAGATCTGGTGATCACCCTCCGTGGAACATGACTGACCATTCCCATCAGGGTGTCCAAACTGACTACCATTGTATCAGACTAGTCTAGAGAGTGAGTCATTATAGTGACCTAAAAGTTCTTGCAGAGGGGTCTAGCGCTAACTCCTGGACCCCGCCTTACCGGCTGCCGTTTGTCTGATGTAGTCAATGATGACAACTCATATGCCTTTTCATGTATGCTGCTGTTGCTCTTTGTTGTACTATTTTCTTCACCCTGTACTAGTTCATTGTATTTGTTAACTTCTCTTATGTTAAAGACTTTCTGACATGATGAGCTCGTCTCAGCCTTTAGTGACCTATCTTGCCTCCCTACACGTCTTCTATGCCCTATACTGAACAGCTTCTCTTTATCAACATTATCATTTTCCCTGAGAATCTTGTATTTTGTTATCATGTCCCCACGGCTCTTTTTTCTCTTGAGGAATGGTGAGTTCCATATCCTTTAGCCTTACTTTAAAGTTTATTCCTCAGTTCTAGTACAAGCCTCGTTGGACACCCAGGGACACTTTATAGTTTGATTGTATGTGTATAAGAGTACCAGGAGGGGGGGAGGTAATGAGGTGGAGGGGGGGTTTACAAGATGGGACGACAAGGTCCTGAATGAGATTCATCCATGTGGTGTACACTGCTCGGAAGGCCTCCTTCACGATAGTCACAAATGTTATTCATTTGTCCGGTACTTTTTGCAGTTTAATAGAGTTTTCTTTGTCTCTCTCAATTCATGCTATTCAATGGGACGTCTTGTTCCCGAAGTAATTCTCATTACCTTACACATATCCTAGTTTAAGTCTATTAGCTCTCTGTCACACCATCCGTGTAGTAGCTCATAAAGATCGTCCTGTATAATGTTACAATCATCCCGTGTTATAAGTCGTACAATTTTGCCTCAACCGTGAACACTGATGCGGATACCGGCACTCTTTTTCATTATGGATAGTTACGTCCTCCGGGAATAATACTGTTAGTGGCACTTGTGTCACGCCCTGTGTGGCCTCCCTTCACTGAGGTCTGTGTGTGTGATCTCCCTCTACTGAGGTCTCTCCATCTAGCTCTGGGAGCTGCTCAGTCTCAGTAGTGGACACTCCATGGAAGCTGGTGTTGAGCTCCTCACAAATTTCATTTATCATTCTCTGAATACTCGCCTCCCCTTTTTCGTAACCTGGTCACTTGGTCATTCACTGTCATTTTCTTTCTTATATGATTATGTATTAGTTGTTTGCTTTGGAGGCAATATTATTTTCATAGTTACTTTCTGCTAATCTCCTTATATTTATGTTTTCATTTCTGGCCTCTTTGCATCTGCTCCGGTTTTCCTCTGTCCTTTGCCTTCTGTATTTCCTCCGCTCCCTCCTGCATTTTGCTTTTGCCTCCTGGCACTGTCTATTGACCCCCGGGTTATTATATGATCTCCTACTGCTTCCTGGCACTGTCTATTGACCCACGGATCATTATGTGTTCTCCTACTGCTTCCTGGCACTGTCTATTGACCCCCGGGTTATTATATGATCTCCTACTGCTTCCTGGCACTGTCTATTGACCCACGGGTTATTATATGTTCTCCTACTGCTTCCTGGCACTGTCTATTGACCCACGGGTTATTATATGATCTACTACTTTTTTGCATCATACTGTGGGTAGGAATCTCTCTCCTGCCTCTTGGCACCTCAGTTTGACTTGGTCCATCATTTCCTGGACCGTCTTCCCTCTGAGTTCCTCCTCCCACTGCACACTTCCCAGATACTCTCTTACTTTCTTGTAGCACCCATTTGTATAGTCTGCTCTTCCTACCCTGACTCCTTATCTTATGGGCACTGTTTTATGTTTGATCATTGGTCACTTATTCCTAGTGGAGTTTGATGCTCTAAGTTCTCAATGTCTTCATCATTTTGGGTAAAGATCAGGTGCAGTAGACTTAGTGTATCTCCTCCCCTTTCTCTTGTGTCCTCCTTTACATGTTGGGTTAAGGCTTTTCTTAGACACCTTATTCCTAGAATTCTCATAGGGAGAGGTCGGGTTGGTGGCAGGAGTGGATGGGAGTCAAGGAGTGGATTGGGGTTTGGGTTGGTGTCAGGGAGTGAGTGGGGGAGGTCAGAGAGTGGGGAGAGTCAGGTCATAAGCAGGTAGTGGAGGGCTGGGGGCATCCATGGTGATTATTACAGTAGTAGTAGTGTGTGTGTGTGTGTGTGTGTGTGTGTGTGTGTGTGTGTGTGTGTGTGTGGGATGTGAGTGTGTATGTGTGTGTGTGTGTGTGTGTGTGTGTGTGTGTGTGTGTGTGTTGTGTGTGTGTGTGTGTGTGTGTGTGTGTGTGTGTGTGTGTGTGTGTGTGTGTGTGTGTGTGTGTGTGTGTGTGTGTGTGTGTGTGTGTGTGTGTGTGTGTGTGTGGGATGTGAGTGTGTGTGTGTGTGTGTGTGTGTGTGTGGGATGTGAGTGTGTGTGTGTGTGGGATGTGAGTGTGTGTGTGTGTGTGGGATGTGAGTGTGTGTGTGTGTGGTGTGTGTGTGTGTGTGTGTGTGTGTGTGTGTGTGTGTGTGTGTGTGGGATGTGAGTGTGTGTGTGTGTGTGGGATGTGAGTGTGTGTGTGTGTGTGGGATGTGAGTGTGTGTGTGTGTGTGTGTGTGTGTGTGTGTGTGTGTGTGTGTGTGTGTGTGTGTGTGTGTGTGTGTGTGTGTGTGTGTGTGTGTGTGTGTGTGTGTGTGGGATGTGTGTGTGTGTGTGTGTGTGTGTGTGTGGGATGTGTGTGTGTGTGTGTGCAGCCTGTCTTCCAAAAATGGGGAGGTAAATGTAACAGCCCCATAAGTGCAATTATGTACTATGTATGACAGTCAGGACTTGTACTTATTTACACTTAGTATTAAATCGTAATGTCAAATATATTGTGAATATTTGAGTTTACCTGAAAAGCTGAATAGAAAACCACGACCTAACCTAACCGTCTTAGTTTTTAGAAGATAAGCATTTTATTGCTTCTTAATTACAATTACCACTTAATCTATAGCTATATTAATATTACAGTTTTATAAAACAAATAAAACAAAACTAAAATATTGAAATAAATTGTAAAAGTAACTCAGAATACTTTCAAATTTTGTATAAAATCTCTATTTTTAATAAAACTAAGAAAGAAATTCCTTATGTTTGAAACTTGTGTATACTTCCACAGATCTCCAGTATCAGCTCTTGATACTGGTAATGGCTCAAAAGGGTCACCACTTACGGGCTATTCATGCCCATGCCTCCTTTTGGATGGCTTAATCTTGATGTTCTTCTAGTAAACTGAACTGTACAACTTCAGCCTAAAATTCTGAGTGTCTTGACAGAAAACGAGGGGAGGTAAATGTAACAGCTCCATAAGTGCAATTATGTACTATGTATGACCATCAGGAAATTTATTTATTACACTTAGTATTAAAACATACTGTCAATTCGGAGGATGGGTTGTAGGGTGTGGGGTGAGGGTATGTGTGTGTGAGTGTGGGTATGTGTGTGTGAGTGTGGGTATGTGTGTGTGAGTGTAGGGTGTGGTTGGAAGAGAGAGGGTGTGATAGGGAGGACCAGATACTCCCAGTCACTGCCTGGGAGTAAGTAAGCAAGCATTAGTAAGCTCAACCATAACAGGTTCATTTCTATTACCCTCGCTGTATGGTCCAATTCGGTGTGATGCCACAACATTCATCGTGCGATCAGCGTTCAAACATTTCAATATCTCTTCAAGTTCCAATCTTTGAGACTGTAGTCTCTCGAGTGTCGAAACTCGCAGTTCATCGACTAGTCACTGATTTACAGTTTTCCAATTTTTCTGTAATTCTAATAAGTCTCATGACTTGTTATGCCCCTTCCTCTCTCTCTTTGTCTTTAAGTGCCATAATGTCTCCTTTATTTTCACATAAGAGAAATGCTTTGTATTTTGCCCTTCAGCTTCCTCAGTTTTGTCTACCCATCTCCACACACTCTGCTTGCTCCCTCAGGTGTGAGTGTGTACTCACCATGTTGTGCTTGTGTAGGTTGAGCTTCAGCTCTTTCGCCCCACCTCTCATCCATCAATCAACTGGTGTACAGGTTCCTGAGCCTACTGGGCTCTATCATATCTACATTTGAAACTGTGTATGGAGTCAGCCTCCACCACATCGCTGCCTAATGCATTCCATCTGTTCACTACTCTGACACTAAAAAAGTTCTTTCTACTGTCTCTGTGGCTCATTTGGGTACTCAGTTTCCACCTGTGTTCCCTTGTTCGGGCACCACCCGAGCTAAACAGTTTATCTTTATCTTTCCTGTCAATTCCTCTGAGAATTTTATAGGAAGTCATCATGTTTATCCTATCTCTTCTTTCTTCCATTGTCGTGAGGTTGAGTTCTAGTAATCTTTGCTCGTAGCTCATACCCCGCAGCTCGGAGACTAGCCTGGTGGCAATCCTTTGAACCTTTTCTGAATTAGTTTTGTGTTTGACTAGATGTAGACTGGTGGAGCCGCATATTCCAGTATTGGTCTGATATATGAGGTAGACAAGGTTCTGAATAATTCCTTACACAAGTTTCTGACAGCAGTTTTTATAGTTTATATAAGTTTAAAGCGGCGTATACGGCCTTGTACACGCCGCTTATGTTATTCTTCTAATGTGGGCTTTAGGGGACAGGTCTGGTATGATTTCAACCCCCAGGACTTTCTCTCTTCCTTATCCATTAAGATCAGGAAGAGAGAAAGCTTTCCTCTCCCAGCTGGTACCTTGTGTTTGACCTCCTGCTCCCTACGCCTATCTTCATCACTTTGCACTTGCTTGAGTTAAACTCTAGTAACCATTTGTTGGACCTTTCCATCAGTTTGTCCAGGTCATCTTGGTGCCTCTTGCTGTCCCCCTATGTCTTAATCCTTCTCATAATTTTAGCATCATCAGCAAACATTGAGAGGAATGAGTCTATATCTTCTGGAAGATCATTCACGTGTATCAGAAACAGAATAAGTCCGAGTACAGAACCCTGTTGCACTCAGCTGCTGATGTCACGTTATTCTGAGGTCTCACCCCTCACAGTAACTCTCTGCTTCCTGTTGTTTAGGTACTCCCTTATCCATTGGAGCACCTTACCACTTACCATGTTGCCTGTTTCTCCAACTTATGCAACAGTCTTTGCATAAGTTGGATAAAGTCCCCCCCCCCCCAATGCAAAGTCCCCCCTTTGCATAGGGGGGTCTTTGTCATAAGCTTTCTGACAGTCCAGGAAAATGCAGTCTGCCCACCCTTCTCTCTTTTGCCTTATGCTTCTGGCTTGGTCATAGAGCTCTATTAAACCTGTGAGGCACGACTTGCCCTCCCTGAACCCATGCTGGCGACGTGTTACAAAGTCTCTTCTCTCCAGATGTACCACCAGACTTTTTCCTCACGATCTTCTCCATCACCTTGCATGGTATACAAGTTACCAACACCGACCTGTAGTTTAGGGCCTCCTGCCTATCACCCTTTTTGTATATTGGGACTACGTTAGCTATCTTCCAACTCTCTGGTAGGTCTCCAGTTTCCAGTGATAGAGTATGTGTATCTGTGTTTTTTTTTGTGTGTGTGTATGTGTGTGGTGTGTGTGTGTGTGGTTACCTGTTTCTTACGTATTTGTGTTTGTATGAGTATCATGAGGAGGAAGGATGTGTGAGTATGAGACTATGACCCTCTGCCTCACTCACACCAAGAGAACACTTAGCCACGTGTCTCGTCCCCAGCATTCAGCAAAAAGGCCGCCAACAGCATCAAGCTCGCGACGCTGGACTTCGTGAAGAAGGTGGTGGCTGCTGGTCTGGCCGCAGAGGAAGACGCCCGGTTCTGGTACAACAACAATCCCAAATTTAAGGTTTAATGAGGCACGTTTTTGTGTATCACTCTACGTTCATCCACCTAAATTGGTTGGTACAGAACAGCCTCGATTCTTGCAGTCAGCGTTCGATGCTCGATGGTACATGTGGTTGGGCACAGTTCCTTCACCCTGTCCGTGTCCCAGCACTTACGTTTTGCGAATCCCAGTTGTTAGTCTGTCTTATATCCCAGCTCTAAGTCCTCATTTCCCAGGCCTTAGTCAGTCTCATATCCATACCAAGTGCTATGTCCTAATAATTACCCTAACCTTATTTACGGTATATTCTAAAATTATATATAAACTCTATATAAACTTTATGCCTGAAAAGATTCTTGAAAACTAAATATTAAATTGCCTCATTTGACCACGGAAAGTTTAACATGATATTGTTACTTATAAATACAATATATTATGAAAATAATTGCGTTTTTGTTCCTTTTTCATATGTAATAATTTTGTTGTTGGCAATGACCTTAACAGATCAAAAGCGCTTCGGCAATAATTTCTTATTTCTTTTGTTGTTTTCTGCATATATATATATAAATATATATATATATATATATATATATATATATATATATATATATATATATATATATATATATACACATATATATATATATATATATATATATATATATATATATATATATATATATATATATATATGTCGTACCTAGTAGCCAGAACACACTTCTGAGCCTACTATGCAAGGCCAAATTTGCCTAATAAGCCAAGTTTTCATGAATTAATTGTTTTTCGACTACCTAACCTACCTAACCTAATCTAACCTAACGTTTTCGGCTACCTAACCTAACCTAACCTATAAAGATTGGTTAGGTTAGGTTAGGTAGGGTTGGTTAGGTTCGGTCATATATCTACGTTAATTTTAACTCCAATAAAAAAAAATGACCTCATAGATAATGAAATGGGTAGCTTTATCATTTCATCAGAAAAAAATTAGAGAAAATATATTGATTCAGGAAAACTTGGCTTATTAGGCAAATCGGGCCTTGCATAGTAGGCTGAGAAGTGCATTCTGGCTACTAGGTACGACATATATATATATATAGGGAAGGGAGTACCACCTCTGGCTGGAAGAAGGGGGACCCATAGCCTCGGAGGAAACCACACATAACGCATTGGAGGGAATGTGGGTCCCCTCCAATACAGTTTCTGTGTGCTTTTCTCCTACCACCCCTTCCCTTTTTTTTTTTTCCTTTATTGTGTATTTAAAGGTTACAAAACATACAAGACAAATGCCTAAATGTTATGGATCTCTTGAAGCTCCTCCGCTTCTGGACAGGAACCGAGGACGCAGCAAGCATTTCCCCTCTGGATCGCCACACTGAGACGCTGAAACAAAAAACTGGAAGCCCTTGGGTCTCTGGTGACGTCAATGAGCTTGGACCCCAATTCCTTGAGAAATCCCAAGGCACTCTTGCCCCAGGGCCATGCGTCTCAGACGCTATGGGAACAAAGAGGTATTGACCTTCCAGTCGCCTGTACTTGAGTGATTTTGCTGTTTCCCTGTGGTTGGCCGCCCCACCTGCTTGATCAGCTCCGAAGTGTACATAGGTGTCAGCCAGGGTGGATACACATGTGTAGTCCCACACCAACTGTCTACCCAACTGTCTATATATATATATATATATATATATATATATATATATATATATATATATATATATATATATATATATATATATATATATATATATATATATATATATGTCGTACCTAGTAGCCAGAACGCACTTCTCTGCCTACTATTCATGGCCCGATTTGCCTAATAAGCCAAGTTTTCATGAAATAATTGTTTTTCGACTACCTAACCTACCTAACCTAACCTAACCTAACTTTTTCGGCTACCAAACCTAACCTAACCTATAAAGATATGTTAGGTTAGGTTAGGTAGGGTTGGTTAGGTTCGGTCATATATCTACGTTAATTTTAACTCCAATAAAAAAAATTGACGTCATATATAATGAAATGGGTAGCTTTATCATTTCATAAGAAAAAAATTAAAGAAAATATATTAATTCAGGAAAACTTGGCTTATTAGGCAAATCGGGCCTTGCATAGTAGGCTGAGAAGTGCGTTCTGGCTATTAGGTACGACATATATATATATATATATATATATATATATATATATATATATATATATATATATATATATATATATATATATATATATATATATATATATATATATATATATATATATATATATATATATTTAATATGACCGGAAATATATTAAATTTCCGGTCATATATTAAATATGACCGGAAAATTAAAATTAATAATTCTAACACGAATTTCTCAATATTTCTTATATTTCTTTTCACTGATGATGGTAATTGAAAAATCAATTCTCCAAAATTCATTTTTATTTCTAGTCTGATGCGACACTTGAACGCGTTTCGTAATAACTTATTACATTTCAAAGACTTTAGTTTACACACACACAACTATAACCTGCAAACAGATTTCTTACTATGCTACAATTCAAACGGCTTTTCATTTTATATACCTGCATTTGGGTGAGGTGATATGTTACAACAGTTTTGGATGAGGTGAAAACAAATTTTTAACACAAGATAGAACACAAAATATTGGGTAAAGTTAAAAGGGGGAAGACTGGAAGTAAATGCAAAGGGCCTATTGGACCATATTTCTTGATGCCTCTATATTGGAGCGGAGTCTTGAAGTTGGTAGAATATAGTTGTGCATTAATTGGCTGTTGATTGCTGGTGTCGACTTCTTAATGTGTAGCGCATCGCATATATCAAGACGCCTGCTGTCGCTGTATCTATCGATGATTTCCGTGTTTTTTGTTAAGACTTCTCTGGTGATGGTCTGGTTGTGGAAAGAGATTATATGTTCCTTAATGGAGCCCTGTTGCTTATGCATCGTTAATCGCCTGGAAAGAGATGTTGTTGTCTTGCCTATATACTGAGTTCTTTGAGGCTTACAGTCCCCAAGTGGGCATTTGAAGGCATAGACGACATTGGTTTCTTTCAAAGCGTTCTGCTGAGAAAAGAGACTTGAGAAAGAAAATTGAGAAAATTCGTGTTAGAATTATTAATTATTATTAAATAAAGATAAGAGCAGCCGTGAAAATTTCAATTTCAGAACCAGAAAACTGGATGGTTATTAATGCCTATTGATCTCTGGAGGGTTATTAATGCCTATTGACCTCTGGAGAGTTATTAATGCATATTGACCTCTGGAGGATTATTAAGGCCTATATATATTGACCTCTGGATGGTTATTAATGCTTTGACCTCTGGATGGTTATTAATGCTTTGACCTCTGGATGGTTATTAATGCTTTGACCTCTGGATGGTTATTAATGCTTTGACCTCTGGAGGGTTATTAAGGCATATAGACCTCTGGAGGGTTATTAATGCCTATTGACCTCTGGAGGATTATTAAGGCCTGTATATATTGACCTCTGGATGGTTATTAATGCACATTGACCTCTGGATGGTTATTAATGTATATTGACCTCTGGAGGGTTATTAAGGCCTATTTACCTTTCGAGGGTTATTAATATCTATTGATCTTTGAGGGTTATTAATGTCTATTGACCTCTTGAGGTTTATTAATGCCACCACAATAGCTTATTGACCAGGCAGCACGTATATTATTGACCAGGCAGCACGTATATTATTGACCAGGCAGCACGTATATTATTGACCAGGCAGCACGTATATTATTGACCAGGCAGCACGTATATTATTGACCAGGCAGCACGTATATTATTGACCAGGCAGCACGTATATTATTGACCAGGCAGCACGTATATTATTGACCAGGCAGCACGTATATTATTGACCAGGCAGCACGTATATTATTGACCAGGCAGCACGTATATTATTGACCAGGCAGCACGTATATTATTGACCAGGCAGCACGTATATTATTGACCAGGCAGCACGTATATTATTGACCAGGCAGCACGTATATTATTGACCAGGCAGCACGTATATTATTGACCAGGCAGCACGTATATTATTGACCAGGCAGCACGTATATTATTGACCAGGCAGCACGTATATTATTGACCAGGCAGCACGTATATTTTAGTCCTGTCCAGGACAAAAATTTGTTCAGTGTATATACACCAGTGTATACATATCATATATACTTGAATATACAGCATACATCTCTGGGCTTACATAACTTGGGGATGGGCTCAGGCACTAAATAACGACCAAAACACAATTCAGAAGACGGATTAGTGATGTTTCGGTCCGTCTAGGACCATTATCAAGTCGTGTGTTAATGGTCACATTTCGGTCCAGGTCGGGGACAGGTCTGGTGTGAAACGTCGTCGCTTCTCTATTTTTTGAGTTGTGTTTTGGTCATCCTTTCTTGAGCCGTGTTCATGACGGACCTCGGCGCCATCTACGAACCAGGTGCCGAACTATAGCAGTTGACCCTCCCATTAATCGTAGTTTTAAATCATCTTGTCGGCTGAGTTGGAAGGTGACGACTAACCAGGGACAGGCAATGGAAGTCAGTGAAGCCCGGAGAGTGGACGAGTATTTAGGTCGACCTGGAGGTACTAGCCACTGGGGCTAGTTGAGGGCCGTGGAGTTTGCTAATTGAGCGTACTAGCGAGGGCGCTGCGGAGGGGGAGCGTTTGAAGACGTCTCCATAATTGCAGCTAGGTAAGGACTAGTGGCGCGTTGAAGACCTCGTCAGAGACATACAGGGTCCGTCATGCGTGAAGCACGCTAACGTGAGGACTAGTAACGCCGCTCTGGATCACCTCACATACACTTGTACATATTAATGGTGAAGGGGAATAATAACGGGTTATTTTAAGTGCTATTATTTTTATTTACCTTAAACATTACACTATGTTTCCACCAAGGTTAGGGTCATCTGAACTTGAGTAGGATCATATAGTTTAAAGAGAACCCGGTTACGAAGGGTTCATAACATTGTGACTTGTAACTCCTCGTCATTCTTCTCAACTCTGGTTATAGATGGAGTCAGGTTTAGGCAGACACATGGTGTCGTAATGGTGAGGGGAAGCTGCCTTGTGCGAGTGAAGAAAGTCAAGAAAACGACGATGTTTCGGTCCATTCTGGACCATTATGAAGTCGTATAATCGACTTGATAATGGTCCAGGATGGACCGAAACGTCGGCGTTGTCTTCATCTTTGTTATATGTGGTTTTGTCATCATATCTTCAGCCCCGTTATAGTGACTCCTCATCTGCTTTTTCGCGAGTGATTGGGGAGGGACTGGCTAGGAGGGACTGGCTAGGAAGGACTGGCTAGGAGGGACTGGCTAGGAAGGACTGGCTAGGAAGGACTGGCTAGGAAGGACTGGCTAGGAGGGACTGGCTAGGAGGGACTGGCTAGGAAGGACTGGCTAGGAGGGACTGGCTAGGAAG